ATCTGGCCAAAATCCATAATATCAAAGGACTGTGTTTCAAACGAACCAGCGCTTTTACGAAAAACTAACTGTGAGTTCAAGGGAAAGAAAAAAGGCGTTCCACAACTTACAGTTTAGAAGGCTAATCAGAGTGGTACCTATCCCACATTTTGCAATCATGAGAGCAGCTTTCTCATCCAGACAAGCAGTTCCGATTAGACGGATTATCTCCAACAGCAAATCGTCTTCAAAGTGCCTCAAACCAAGATTTAGCTTTGACTGCAACCAGTGTAGTAGTTTCAGGTCACTTAGCACACGGGCAAAGTCTAGATCTTCCAGAGTGAGGTTAGCTAAAAGACCGAGACATTCAAGGGCAAAGTCCTCCTTCTTGCCGCCTCCAGCTCCTTCATCGGTCTCTTCCCCAAAGTCCTCCTCTAGAAAGCTTTCACGTTCGAAGTCGTCCATTGGGTCGGGTTTGAGGAGGGAAGCCTTCATACGTTCGTTTCGGTTATGGCATTCTGAAAGGAGTTCGGTGCTGCTTTGTTGGGTACTAGCAGATTCGTCGAGAGAGATAACTGCCTGAACCAAATCCGGCAGGTAATCCTGTAAAAGGGAAGGCCATATGTTAGAACGAGTTAATCTGAAGCGACTGGAAAAACTGCAACGAACTTATGGGAATAGTAGTGTGGAATGTAGAAAGAACGACGGGGAAGTCCAAAAATCGGATACCCCGGGTTTACTAGGTAACTGAGACATTCATTCAAGTCACTAATCATTTGAAAATAAAAAAAGTAAACCATTTGTTTGGCACAGAATGAAACAGGATTAAACATAATGGCAGAGAGAGAGAAATTCGCTTTATTTTGAAATCATAAATTCAAAATTTTCAGCAAGAAATTGGCTCCATTCACTATGGGTAGTAAATAAGTTAATAAATTACTCAAGACTCAAAAAGGTTAACACAAAAGGGACAATTATTATGGGGACAGTTCAAGTCTTATCTTCCGTATTTCTATCGTTTCACACGTGAGAGGGGACACGAAAAGGCTTTCAATATCGGACACTTGCGAACATTTGGTTAACATGTCGTGGAGGTAGCGCCAACAATCAAAGGATGAACAGTCAATCTTGACGACACCATAAGCACGCTGCTGAAACGCGAGTGATAAGCTCCGCTAACAATCGAATGACAACAACTACTGCCCTTAATCAGGTAACAAAATAAGTTAGGGACAAGTTTATGGTAACAAAGACCGGGACACTTGAATGGTCATTTTCGCCAGTCACACTTCAACTTTAGACGAGGTGGGGCGCTGGGTGCAACTACTAATTCAGTCTGTGTTGAAAGCCCCGGTCTTCCTCGCCTGAATTGGAGTGCAGTTGGTTGACGGAAGACGGGTTGGGAAAGAACATCTGCATTTAGTCCTGCAGCCAGGCCACATTGATAAGCGTAAATTCAAGGCCAAACTTAGAATACTGTCAGTTGATTGGATTTTCATTAAATAGTTCCGAGCATTTCAAGGATGACTGTCCGTCGTATAGTTACGAAAAGGAACCATCACGTTCTCCCTACAATCGATTTCAGGGGCTGAAGCTTGTCCTCAAAGTGACAGTGACGAACGGCCCACAGCATAAAAAATCAAACAAACTTTGTAGCCCGGTGTAAGAAGGCAAATACCAGCAGTAAGAAGCTTACTACGGACTCACAAGAAATATTGGCTTCAGTTTCTTGTGCTCAGACAAATTTCTCAAGATTTTCATAATCAGGGGGTCATGAAGCATGAAGGCCTTCTTCATCAGCATTCGGATCCCGCGGGCTTCCCCAACTAGCTCAGCAGCCGTCGGATCGCAGGCCAGATTAATTGCTATCGCAATAGGCTCCAGTTCACACGCCTCTTCACGACATTCCAGAACGCTTTCCATGATCTTTAAAAATCAAAATTTGCGGCAAAATTATGCGGAGGTGGTACAAAGAAATACTTGCATGAACTTACTCTATACACCGAAAATATGTATGTCTCGACAAAACCGTCAGGGCAGCCATTAACTGTGAATCATTTCTGCAGGAACTGGACGTCGGCCTTTTTGCCGTACGGCTAGGTGAAGTTTGCTCCTACATGGCGGTAGTTTTCTTTCGCAGCTGTGTCCATGCGAATGAGATGGCCGGAGGCGGACAGAGGCCGCAGTCGGTTCATATTGATTAACACAGCAGCTAAAACGGCGAGAGCATCCTAACCGCCGCAAACAGCTCCAAGTTCCAAGTAGATCTAAACAATGGCGGCTGCCGTTATTGCCGGACAGGCAATTGACTCCCTCGACGTCTCTGCAGCTCATAAAATCGAATCGAGCGCACAGACCATGACCATTCGGTTACCCAAAAATTTATGATGTCGCGGGTCGTAAGATACAGGTTGTATAGGGCGGGTTCCATCCGTAACTAAGAAGTCTCTTATTACACCCGGATCTGAAGGTGGATACCTTCATTCAACCCTTCAGCAGACCAGTATGAGTTTATTAGACTCTGGTGGACGTAGAGGAGGTGGGGGTAAAGCGTTATAGCTGGCGAGGACATTCGCCACGTCACAATATCGTCGTGGTTTGTGAAATTTGCCGAGGTGTTCGGTTTGCTAGATCTACGCCCAGCCACACCTAAAGGCTTGCAGCTGTAAGTTCCGGGACTGTTTACTTGTCAGACTTAGAGTCCGCTCATTTTTCAGCTAGCCTTCCTTGAGGGTAATTCCAATATCCGCTGGCTTAGACATACAGGATAGCCCGCAGTCAGATATTAGACTGGTTCACCTCGGAATTCCTGTTGTACAGGCAGCTAGTGAATCTTGGCTGTGTGCTGACAGCGTTAAGTCGTGCTTGAGAGAAGAAGTGATCTTGAGTGGTCTGCTGTTTTAATAGGGAGTGGGAGCTAGGTCAAGGGCCTCGTGTCCAGGTACGTTCCCGCTGAATTACGTAAGGTCCGAATGTGTGCGAGTCTGGGCGCGTTTGCGATTGAGATTGGTTGAATGGTTACAGATTAGCGCGTCTGGAATAAAGTTAGGTGGCTTTGTAACAAAAGCACTCGCGATGAAGGCGGGTGGCCTTAGCATAGGCGGGCACGCATGCGTGGGTTCAAGTGCTGTTACAAGGGTGGGCGGTGTCGGCTTGGCGGTCCGCTACAAAGGGCAGGGTGACGGCTGTTATTACAACGGATCTCAGGGCCTGATGTATGCAGTTTCTTCGAAAAGGGCAGTAGGACGATGCTGCCTCTGTCAATAAACGGAAAGGGTAGACAGTACTGGTCTGATTGTTCAGAGACCGCGGCAAAGGATGCAGCAGAACCCACCGATCTTTAAGATTCGGACGCCGCTTGAGCGGAGACCGAGCACATGCATGACGCTGTAACTTTGCGCCTACAAAAATGAGTCGTGGCACTCAGGTAGCTTTTGAAGGAGACGTACACTGACACAAAGAGGATATTATTAGGATGATATATATATATATTTTTTTAACGACACATAAATCAATTGGGCTCGTGGATAGACTCATATTGTCTGGACGTACAGTTGGTAGACATCCACTTTTGGCGATTATAGGTTTGGCCTTATCATCCCTGCTAAGCTGATAAAGTATCCGAAGGCAGATGATCCTCTGGTAGTCATCGCCTAAAAGAGGTTTGTACAAAAAAGCATTTAGCTAATAAAGGGTCGGGAAGCAGTGGAAACGAAATGAGGTTACAAATTTCTCGCTTAAGGAACATCGACATTGGCGGGTAAAAAGCCATGAACTCCGATACGGGGACAACACAGGTTTACTTGAAGTTAAGAAAGAACCGTCTTTAATCATGTCCCTTCGGCTGGTCCTGGTATAATAATTTGCTATAGGAATAGATGATGATATTCGGAGTTTGGAGTAGACGTCACCTTATTCTGCAACAACAAACAACCATTATGCCACTGCTAACAATCAAGCAAAGCCTGAAGCGAAAGGCAGCCGATATTATTCAGAGATAGGGTGGTAGTCCCGAGGACTTCATCCATTGCAGCCAAGAAAATGAAGGATGTGCGCAAGAATAGGGCAAAGGCGGCACCGAGAGCTACCGCAGAAATCGTAAAGGGAAGCATCTGCGTTACACAGCCGCTGATGTTTGATGAGTAAGAACGTTATCTAATTAACAGCTTTAGTTTGAGGGATATTGAAGGAAATCCGTGTTTATCAAAGTACAGTAAACAAAATTCCCAAACCAACAATCCCGCCTAGGGACAATCACTGGTTCAGGCGTCTGCAGTCACGCGCGCATCGTCAAACAAGCCGACTGAAGGGGCCCACTTAAAACTGACAGTTCGACCGTCGCGCCCGACGATGTCCACCGTGTGTTCCACGGCAAGGCGAGAGCAGGCACGTGACATGTGGGTGAACTAGTTTATAGTGAGAGTAAACGTCTGCGGCATCTACCACATTCTCTCCTCTTTCCCACCTGGGCCCAGTCTCAAAACACAGTTAATAAGACCGGAGACGGGAGGGGGCGCAGGTGGCTGGCACGGCCGAATCCGCGCCTAGACTTACTACCACACCTGCCTTGTTTAATTTCCGAGGAAATTAATGCGCGAACTTGGAGTAAATCTTTCGAAACGGGCCTTTTCAGGCATGCTCCAAATTTTGAGATGAATATTTGAGCTGAAATCCATCAGCTACTGCGGAATAACCGCTTAATATTCACAAACCGCCAACAGGCAGCCCGTAGTATAGAACTGTGCAATGACTTACCGTACTAATAGTTAATACCTGTGTTGTTAGTACGGTAAATCATTGCACAGTTCTTACTACCACACCCCCTAACCCACAACAAACACTTATCCAGGACTTTAACCAACAAAAACGGGTCTGAGAGAAGGGAGAATGACACAAGTCACCGGGCAACAATGCGCTCGGCCCGTATGCCTAACAGGAGCATAAGCGCATCTACCGGTAAGGAACTAGGTGCCAGAGAACTGTCAGCGGACACCAGTCTGCAAAGGCCATGATTTGCTGGATCACAGCATAACAGAAGCACATAATTTTTGAAGTTCAGAAGGATGAGACGCAGCCCTGCACCTAGCCTGGGCCATCATCCTTCGAAGGGCGATGAGCATGAGGCTGAAGAGAGTGGGAGCAAGTACGCAGCCCTGCTTTATTCTATTGGTCGCTGCGAATGTCTCGGAGATTGCCTCGTTTTCCGTGACGTGCGCCATCATCCCATCATTGAGCTGACGTACCATACGCGCTAAGCGCTCAGAACAGCCAAATTCCTGCATGACTTTAAACGGTCCCCTGCGATCCACCGTATCGAAGGCCTTCGTCATGTCCACGAAGTTGGTGTAGAGGTGAGTTTGCATCTCCTGGCACTTCTCTTGCAGCTGGCGAACGGCCAAGATCATGTCGGAGGTCTCGCGGTGTCGTCGGAATCCACACTGACTTTCTGGCAGTAGTCCTTGCTCAAGGTCGCTGTTGAGACAGTTGTGGGGGGATGCGAACGAAAATCTTCCCAGAGATTTTGAGTGGCAAGATTTCTCTGTGGTCATCACAGTTGTTAATCCCCTCTTCGTTTGCAGAGGTGCACGATGATCGCATCCTTAAAGTCCTGAGGAACCTATCTTTGTCGCCAAATCTCATAGAATAGGTCCGTGAATTGGTCCATCAGTCGCTGGCCGCTCTGCTTGTAAATGTCAGCTGGGATCGCATTGGGGTCTGGCGCTTTCCCGCTGGAGTTCTTGCGCGGCGCGAATAGTTTATTGAAGGGCGGGGGATCCAGGTGGGTGTTGGTTTTCACTCTAAGGGATTCGGTCAATGGCGGCGTCGGAGGTTGTGGAGAAGCGGCTGGCGACGCTTCTGAAGTGCTCAGTCTAGTGCCTCAGAATCTGCGACTTGTCCATCAGAAGCGTTGAGCCATCAGAGCTGAGAAGCGGCGTAGTTCCCTTCGCTGGGGGGTCGTAGACCGCCTTGATAGCATCGAAGAAGTTCTTCATTCCATTGTGGTCGGCATATCCCTGGACCTCCTTGACCTTTAGAGCTATCCGGACGCCCTGTATTTCTCGCAACTGTCGCTGCGCAAGGCGACGACATTGGTAGATTACTTTGTTTGCATCGAGGTAGGCTCTATGCAGCCTGTTCTCTTAAGCGAGCAAATTGGTGATGGCTGCGCTGCTTTCATCGAACCAGCACTGGTGTCAATGATGTGCGCGACCGAGGACAATCAGGGTAGTCGAATGAATGGCGTTCCGCAGTTGACACCGCTGAGTTTCTGCGGAGGCGTTCACATCCGGGGCCGGCAGTAGTTCCAGGTGCTGAGCTGCCTGATTGCTGAAATATAAACGGTCAGCGGGCAAATTCAACAAGTACAATGGCCAGAAATAGCCTATTCGTCATCACTTGGCATCCGAGCTCATTCGCAATACATCTGAAATCTTTCAGGCGTCCAGTTTGCCAAAGACTACATAAAATGAAATATTAGCAAAAATGCCTTAAGATGTAGGCATGATGCTCGCCAGGAGCAGGATATAAGAAAACCAGACAAACCTAGGAGGGACGCGATCACCGGGATTAGACCATGGGACAACATAGATGTTCGTATGTCATTGTGAAAGGTGAGGTTGAAGAGGAGACGAAGGCTGATGCTTACGAGTTCGCGTTCTTCAAGTTCGAGAAGTGGCAGCAGTTGAGGTACGACATCATTAGCATGCTCCCAAGAAAAGACAACAAAGAAAGGTTAAGGTTTAAGGTTAAGGAAAGAACAGTAATCGAAGTTAGGCAGAGAGACGAACATGGCTTGTACTTCTAGTAGTCAAGTTCAGTTTGTAAGCAGTCCACGAAAGGAACGTGGACTAACACAGACTGAAAAGATCTTTCATGAGTTTACTGACGTGAAATCTTTTGCCGACAGACATAGCTTACTCGTCAAGCAAAGGCGCTTAGTTAGTAGCATTTCGTGTCAGAATACCAGGCATGTAATTCAACCTGGACAAACCCCATTGTGGGTAATAAAATTCATTTAAAGGATTCCGATGTGTGATGGCATCGTCTTGAAGGAGAGTTAGTCATATATATGTCCCATCGGCATACAAACTGCTCTTCATAATATGAACTTTATCCCTTGATCTGTCGCTTAGCATGCTGTCCACCAGGTGCCAAGTTAAGATTAGAAAAAACATTTTAGAAATTGAGGGAGAGCAGTTGACAAATGATAGTTGAAGATGAACGTTTCTAGAAAAGCAATTAAGGTCGCCAATTGCCTGGTTACCTGTCGATGATCAGCAGTAGTGTGAGAGCAGCCAGTATATGCGAAAAGTTGAGTTCCGGAAGCGGTTGAAACAAATTTAACTCGATCGCTGTAGCAAAGGCCTTATTGGCCTGACATCTTAAGCGCATACTTGAAGCCATTATTAGGAAAGAAATGAAAAGTTATAAAGACGAAGGGGAGAGCATTACTTGCAGGATTGGGTTGCAATGCGGGTTGGAGGCTAATCGGTTAATCGGCTGCGCTCCAACCATCAATCGCCGACCGAACAATTATCATGCCAATAAAAACGGTCGCTTGGTGATCTGGGATTTTAGCGCTGCCTGCCAACCAACTGACATAAGAAAGTGTAGCAACAACGACCTGTTAAAAAAGTACTCCAATACGAATCTGTCATAACCCACTTGTGTCTATGACAATGGATCTAAGCACACATGCAAAAAGCCAGGCAAATAAAGTTATCGTTCCTGTAGTCCGGCCGCCTTCATCTCACGACAGGAGTCGTCATTCATCTGGCAACACAGCCTTATTGTACGTTCAAAGCGGCTAATTTTACTAGTACTGCCCAAAACAAAGGACTCATGAAGCAATTGCAAGGTAGTGTATTGAGCTCTGATATGCCTACCGCCTATTTCAACAAACTAATCAACAATTTGTTCTTAGAAGTGGCATGACGCCTGAGAGCGGTTTGAAGGTTGAAACGACCAGTGAAGTTTGTTTGTAAGCCTTCGTTATGAGTATGGAGTTCTGAATAAAGATTATTACGGTTTTCATTGGAGTAGAAAATCTTTATGAACTCTAGTAACTGTTTTGCGAGAACCATGCCATTGTTCGCCAAGCTAGTGAACGTAATTAATCATGGCCCTCCTTACCCATCAGCCCTAAGGACACAAAAACTTACCTCCTAGTCATGTTACCTGACGGCGGCTTGTTACAAACTGTTTAACATTTCATGACTAAACATCGGCATTTCGGCAGAGCCTTTTGTTGTGTACGAACGTCGGAATGTCTAACTACGAAGACGTACGACGGCCCGTAAACCTGCTCACTCGCCAACATTTGAGATGGCTACCTTGAAGGATCACATGTAAATGTATCCAAGTGTCTTACTAGTAGAGCATTTTAGAGTGACCAGGTATATGCTACAGAAATCGCAGTACCAATGTCGTTTTAAGAACTAGGCTCACAAAAAGTGGCGTATTCAGTGAAATGATTCATGGACGGCCTTGAATGTTGCTCTTAAAATTAACTGAATAAAGGAGTACAACGCGTACTTGTCCAAAGCAAACATGCGAATTCCAAATAATAAATCCTCGGCAGTAGATGCCTCGTTCATACTCACCATGTCCGCAACACTTTCCTTGAAGATGCTCAGTTTTTTCAGAAATGAGACCACTAAGATTTGAAGTTCGTAATTTTTGCGACATAAACAGTGACAGAGAATGCCAACGATGCCCTTTTTCTGCATCTTTGCCTCAACATCGACATTCTCGGCT